TAGTTCAGCAGTAAATCAATGACACCTAGTTGCCAATGTAGTAGAACACTTAAATTCATGTAGTAGAGGCACTAAGGTAAACAGTTCATCAGAACAGTTGCCATGAAAATATTTGTAGAAAAGACAGGGAAGCCATGCCACATCAGTGACTGAACTTTAGGTGCCAGGTAAGGATCAATTACATTACAGACACTTTGAATTTTGTGAAGAATCTTGAGATATACAGCAGAAGCACCAGGCCAGATATGGCAGCAGAATTCAATGCATGGACAAATGGTAGATTTATAAATATGTAAGATGAATTCTGATGAGAACATTTTTTTATGATGTATCATGCCTTTTCGTGAGATATTCATATGTTCCTACCATATGTTTCATAGTTCTTATTGAGTGACAGCAAGACTTTGACATCTTTCTCAGTATCTTAAGTGATCTACAAATATACAATGAGTCAGAACTATCATTTTGCATTTCTAGTATTTGAGACACAATTTAAAGGTGCTAAGAGTGATGAATAATGTAACCTGGCAGCAATATCTGATTAACCAAATGTTTTGTTGACTAATAAGGAAAATGAGGTCTGAAAGATTCAGTAGACACTACTGGAGAAACAAGAATGAAATCATTAATAAAGTCTTACTCTGAGAACCTATGCAAGGGAAACAGTTTTGTGGAAGAACAACAGGTACCTTCACTGATCAATTGATTTAAAATACCTACTTAATTTAAAATTTTAAACTGCAATGGAAGATTATAATGTATTTGTTGGTTCATATCAGTTTGGGTGGTATTTGGTAGAGTGCGACTATAGGTACTGCATCGAGAAATAATAATTTTTTTTTTAAATTTTTTTCATATCTCCATAGATTAAGCACTCCAGATTCCAAATATCTGTTAAAAAATAAATATTAGGAAATTTTATAAAAGGAGTCATTGTTTGAATTATTTCATATATTTTCATGTTCACTCTAGATGTTTGATAGTTATGCCTTCAGATTGAGTAAGATCAAGTCTCTTCAAATCTCCAGAACCTTCCTAAGTATTCTTTCTGGTTTCATATTTCATTATTTCATACGTTTGTATGTTCAAACAAAATGCCCAGTGGTCAGAACTGGAGATTGAGTGAGAGCAAATCTCTTCAAATCTCCAACACCTTCCTAAGTATCCTTCCTGATTATTATTTCATGCATTTGCATGTTCACACCTGATGTCTAGTGGTTATCATGGGAGATTTAGTGACAACAAATCTCTTCAAATTTTCAGCACTTTTCTCAGTATCCTTCTTGATTATTATATTTCATAAATTTGCATATTAAGTACAAGATCTTTGGGCATTATATTTGGAGATTGAGTTAGATCAAGTCTCTTCAAATCTCCAGCATCTTCCTTAGCATCCTTCCTGATTATGATATTTTATACATATGCATATTCAAACCAGATGTCAGGTGGTCACCACTAGACAGCAAATCTATTCAAATCTCTAGCAACCTCTTCTGTATCCTCATAGATCCTTGCAAAGCTGTAGTCTTAACAATCTCAACTCTTCCTTAAATTTCTTATTCATGTGATTTTGTCACCAGCTATCATTAGCACATCCTGAATATTCATCTCCCACACACTCTTCAGCTCCCAGATAAGGTTCCGGTATTTTTCTGCTTTTTTTCATACTTCGTCATCTACTAACAAAACCATATTGAGAATGCTGCAGATTTTCTTACAACTATTGGAGCCATTCTTCTCATATCAATGAGATGGTTGATATGAACTATGTTTGTCAAAGTTTCAAAGCATGTTATTTTTTTATGATTGATTCTGATTTGGTTACATGGTTGAAGAGAAGTAATTTGCATTGTTTGCAGTAATAATCTGTTCCTACTCTGTGATGGTTGTTTTTATATATATTCTTTTTTACTCAACTTACTGCAATCAATTCTTTTATGCACCATGTCATTTCAAGATATGGAAAATCATGACTAGCCACAACTTCCTGTCTTTTTTGGCTCTAAATACCTTTTGACCCTTTACCATGTATCTTTGTTCTATTTTTGTCATCATTCACTCAAATTGATTAACTCAATTACTCATTATTTTATCCTGATTCTTTTGCTTGAGGTATGTCCTATTAGTATCCAAATTCTTCTTTCTTCATTATATACCCCAGAAATTTCAACTGTCTCTTTCTGGTTGTAAGTATTGGTTTACATGTCATTCCTATTTCCTTTAAAACTTCCTTGTTCTTCAAATGTTCTATTGTAATGTTGTCTTTGTTCAAACTAACCAAAAATTAGGAAGGTTATAGTTAGAGAATCGAAAGAACAGAAGATTAGGTAGAAAAAACAAGGAAGAATAGGTTTATTTAATAATCATACATAGAACGGAATGACTTGAGTAAATCAAATACTACTCAAGTCCCACTCTAATTTGGCTACTTACCATATTTATAAATAAGAATATTGTCCATTGTCACAGTACTAGGAAAGAGCAGGAAGTATGCTGAGTCCTCCTCTTCAACATGTTTTATCCATAGTATTCTCAGCATTTATTGAGGAAATTACTTAGCATTGTTATATCAGAGATTAGATATTGCATATCAGTTCAGCACACTTTTCTTTGATTGAAACATTTTCCGATCTTTTAATACTTGAAAGGCATCATTCAGATTTTCTGCATTAAATTTTCCATTATCTGTTTGTGCTCTACCCAGATAGTTATATTTCTGTAGCTGCTTGATTTTCACATCCCCTAAATGTTGCTCACACCTTGAGCTCTCTCTTTTGTTGATAATTATGCATTTTGCTTTCTTATAGTTTATAGATTGTCTTTACTTTTTACCTTCGTTTACTATCTTATCTAAAAGTCATTTCAGTTTTCTCTCTTTTTGAGTCTGTCAGCAACACAGTGTCATCTTCATATCTTAGAGGTAAATATTATATGTACCAATAATAAATCCTGGTAAGTTTTCTGATTCTCTTAGGACTGTCTCACTGTTTAGGTTAAATAAATCAAATGATAAAATGCATCCTTGTCTTACTTTTATTCCTATTTCTGTGTATTCACTGAACTTATCTGCATGCAGGCAATTTGTTCCCAGTAGATGTTAAGGATTACTTAAGTATCTTGCCTATGTCAATCAAACTTTCTTGCATTTTAAGTAGCTCCTCATGTCATACCCTTTTAAAGACCTTTGTGTCATCTATGAAACCTAGCTTTTTCTGCATGTATACTGCTTGTTCTGATAACATACAGATCATAAAAAAATCATTTCTTGTTTCAGCATCTTGAATAAAAACATACAGTTCTTGCTCTATTTCCAATCGAATTTTACTTCAAGTTCTATTTGTTAGAATCCTTGTGACAAGTTTAGTTACATTGTTCATCAAGGTGATTGGCTGATAAAATTTGCATTCATTTGCACTTGGTTTCTCTATCAGTACTATGAAGATGGATTTACTGAGGTATTTACTGGTGTAATATATTTCATTTATCATTTTGGTAACCTTATCTCTATTACAGTCTTATCTAGTTCTGCTACTTTATTTCTCTTCCTCTTAAGCAGTACAGATTTTAAATCACATTTTAATACGAAAGGTCCTTCCATGTTTACCTGTATTAGGGGTTCCTTTCCTAGGTTTTTTTCTCCTCTATGCAGATGACACAGTGTTGATAGCAGACATGGAAAGAAAACTATAAAAGCACTACAACAGGTAGTGAAGGAAAGTGAGGAGAAATTACTAAACATAAATTGCAAGAAAACAGAATGCATGGTTGTTAGCAAAAAGATGAGGCTAAAATGTAAATTGGAGTTACCAAAATCAAACAAGTACAAAAATTTAAATAACTCGGAAGTTTTTTTAACAGAGGAAGAAAAGTGCAAGACTGAAATCCAAAGACACTTTGGGATATGCAAAAAACATTCCAAAAGCTAAGCAGAGTATTAAGAGACAGAAAACTTTGATAGAAACAAAGAAAATAATATTGAATTGTTGCATATCTGTCCTCTTATATGGCAGTGAATTCTGGATGAGTTCAAAGATGAAAAGAGGCTTGAAACAAAAGAAATGTAGTTCCACAGAAGGATGCTGAAGATACCATGGACCGAACATTTGATCAACAAGGTTTTAGAGAAAATGGAAACAAAAAGAAACTTATACTTAAAATCAGGAAGAGACAGATAAAATTTCTGAGGAACATAATAAGGAAGGAGGCCTTGGAAAATCAGATATTCACTGGACAGATTGAGGGCAAGAGGGACAGAGGGAAAAAATTCATAACATACTTGATGAGCTTAAGAAAATGGATGGTGGAACAGGGTTTAAGAGAAATAATAAAAGACAAAATTGATTAAGAGCTACAAAGTACAAGAAATTGTGGGGAGCCTTGATCATCTATGTCCTGAGGGGACATATCATATAAAGAAGGTTTGCCAGTATGAAATGTACACAAGTAACTGCAGGGAAGTGGGAATATACAGACAAATACATTCTCTTATTTTGGAATAATCTTCATTCTTTTTTATTTATTTATGTTTCATCAAATCATTTGAACCTTGCATGGTTATCCATTGTATTTTGGAATATTGTCCCTTATGTCTATGCTCTGCCCTCTCTCATTCATTTCACATCCAATGTCACTGCTACTCTTGCCCTTTCCTCTTACAAATGTTCACCCAATACAAAGCCCAAGGTAGAGGGTGACAAAATGAAGTTGTTGTATAGGCATAGGAGGAGAAATGGGGAAGTAAGTGCAGATTATAAGGATATATATGATAGGTAATGGTTGACCCTAAACTTGAAGAGTTTAAGATAGTCGTGTTCAGGGAAGCAACCTCTCAGGAGTCTGTTTTATAGAGTAGCAGCTCTTGGGAAAAGGCAGCCCAGATTAAACTTATTTCTTACCAATTGAATACAAAAGGAATGAGGATGATCCCTACTCCCCAATGTATATATGACATATGACATGGTAGGTCATCTGAATACAGTGATTATAACATTTTCTGGCTTACAGCCACATCATGTTGAAACACCAGTTCCCATATGATCACCAAAGTTAAGCAATGTCAATACCTAGATGGGTGACCACTTGGAAATACCAGGTGCTGTAAGCTTGGATATGTGGGTGGTGTAATGGCTAATGGGTCAGAATTTTTAATTGGATAGCTAAGTTACAATTCCAATTGGGTGCATTATATTCACCTATACTCAAGTACCCTTGGGAAATGTACGAATACACTATTTTCCTCCCAGCTATGGGTTATTTATTAAGACTTGTATCACTAAATCATTATCTCAAAAAAAAAAGAAAATTTTACAATCTAAAAATATTTTCTGGGTTTAAATAATCTGCAAAGGGGCTGATAAGACATAGAAAATCATCAATCAATCATAACATTTGGTCTAAAACAAAACTTCAGGTGAGAAATCTATAATTCACCTTATTCAAACTCTGACTATTGTCCTCATCTTTGTTGTTATTAACACATTTCAGCAATTGTGCCTTCATCAAGTGTTTGTTAATTCAGATAACCTTCCAGAAGTTTCAAACCCAAACTTTAGTTAATCTATGGATATAAATTTTTCTCATTCCACTGACAATGTATAGGAATATCTCATTTTGCTCTCATTTACTACTGATCAATTATTGCTTTCCCTGTTTCCACTGAGCCTAAGTCTGCAGTACACCATAGCAGAACAAGAACAACCTACCCCCATAAATTAAATAAAGGGTTTAAGCTTGAAATTACTTGAAGGTTACTCAGATTGACAAGCACCTGATGAAGGCTGGAGGCTACATTGACTGAATCACTGTGATATTAACAACAAAAATAAGAGCACTACTCTGAATGTATATAATGTAGATAATGGTAACTCCTCATCCTACAAATTCAGAGATAAATCTATGAATGGATGTCCCCTCAAGGAGGCACTGTGCTTTAAAAGACTATTGGGCCTCAAACTCAAACCTGACCTCAAATGGAACTTGTCTTGCTAAAGATGGAGGTAAAATGATCGCCTCCCTGTACTGCTCCAGTAAGTACCTGACTCCTCATGCTATCCTCTACCTTTAGAAGAGATAGATCAGGCCAAAAATGGAGTATTGTTGTCATATTTGAGCAGGAGCTGCCCAGACCTCATTCTTCAGCCTTGAATCTAAAAGTGTCTCTGAACCCTTGTGGGTGATGAATTATTCTCCATCCTCCAATCTCTCTCTCACAGGCAAGATGTGGCAAGCCTCTTGCTGCTCTATCGCTACTTTCATGGAACTTCCACCAATTTCCCTGGTTCTACCAGTTCAATCCTTCATGGCAAGAACATGCCATGCCACTTACATAGTAGCAAACCACCCACATTCCTTCTGTATTCCATCAGTGAGAAGTAACTCCCAAGAAGATTTTCACTCAATCACTACAGTTTTAACCTATTCAAGCCTAAAGTTAACTATTATCTTCCCCTCCTATCCACACAAATTGCCTATTATCGTAATTTTCTACCACGAGTGGCTCCCAGGCCTTGTACAGGGTGAATCTTGCTGTAAATAAAAAAAAAAATAAAAATAAACAATTTAAACAAATACATGGAAAGTAAAGGTTCAAAACTGATTGCCTCTCCATAATACAGGGTGATTGAAAAGTAACTCCCTATGATGAACTCTCCCCTATAATTTTTACAAAATGGAGAGTCCATCATACATAAAATAGGACGTTACTTTTCAATCACCCTGCAGAAATTAAAAAAAAAATTCTTTCACATGGTGGGTTGAAGTACTCACCGCTATACCACCAAGGACATTGCAGCTGAAAGCATCTATAGTAGGCTACTTTTGATTGAAGAGGTTCCATTGTAAGTTTATAGAGCAGCATCTTTGAGGTACATCCCCAGTAGTAGTGAAGAGTCACTAATGTTGGAATAATGATTGTGGAAAAACTGCAAAATACAGGAATTTAGAAAGAGAGCTGTAAAGGATGTTAAACATGGTCAGGCCTGTAAATGAAATTTTAAGTAGGACCTTTAAATCATATCTTGAATTATTAATATTAAAGTAAACAAACATTCTATATTCTGGGGAAACTTTTGTTTTCTGTTATTTATTTCCAACTCTTGACCTCAGATTCTTTTCTGCTCATTTCTTTATACAAATCAGAGGATGGTCACCTTGAGGTGGTGTAATGGTTAGCAAGCTTGTCTCACTAGACCAATTAAAAGTGAGCAATGCATTTGATCCTCACTGGGTGCCCCTTCTTTCGGCCTTGTGCCACATCTAAGTTATGCCTGGCAAATCTCTTATACAAATGACAGGAAAAATTATTAATTGATAAACCTTCCCATTATTTCCAGCACCAACAACAGGAAAAATAAGAAGCATGTGTAACTAGAAGAGAAAATAATGACATAATTAAGATGTTGATTTTCCAAACAACCTTAAACAAAATATTTGGAAAGAAACGCCCAACAGTACAAGAAAGAGCAAGAACATTGGACTTGAGAAGGCTAATTTTCTGAAAAAATGTTCTAAGAGAAAGATTTTATAAATTGCAACTGACAGTAATGCTAATTCTTTGGTCAATGATTGCTGTATGTTTCTTGTATGTAAACAGCTAATTTCACCATTTTTCTAGACCTTGACACTGTCAGATTTTATTCTGCAAATCAATATTTTCACAATAAAATTGGTATCAGCCAACCAATGTTTGTAAAGTTTTCAAGATATACTTGTAATTATATGATAAGTATACCATGGGAATTTCAGCTGAAAATGTCTTTTATTACAAATATTTACAATAACTTGGTGGTGTGAGATTTTATCATCCAACTTGAAATATAAATATAATGGTATCATTATAGATATTTTGTAATTTCAAAAATATAATGAGTCCATAAATATTGCAAAAAAGGTTGTATAAAGATATAAACTCAAAAGAGAAAGAAAATATTGTCAAATTATTCAAGGATAGGAATACAAAATTGGAAATTACAAATAAATCAAGGAAAGACCAGAGAAGAATAAAAACGAGATTGGTAAACATTGGTAAGATAAGAACAAAAAAGGAAAAATTAGCTTTAAGAATATCATTGAAAGAGAATTAAGAAAAATTAAAACAGTAACAAGCAAAAAAACTGAATTTCACATAAGAAAATATTTGAAGAAGCTGGTGTTGCCAATGGAAACCAAAAGAAAAGATGTAGAATATTAGCAACATCAGGTAAAGAGATGAAAACAGCCAAGTTAGAATTTTTAAGTAAACATCAAAAAGAGAAAAGTTAGACAAAGAATTGTAATTTCTCAGCAGTAAATCTTTGTAATTAATGCAGAATTACATTTGGGCTAGAGGCTGGGTCTTTCTGAGAATATAGTCAACCAGAATAGATCAGAATACAACAGCAGGGTCTTTGAATAATGTTTTGTACTGATATTGTAGCTAGTAAAGTTAGTGATCCCTTCAAAACTGATTATGATGGTTCAGTACAAAATATAATGATCTATAGTAAGATTTTTGACAAAGTGTTTTTTGATTAGCACAAGAAGCTTTCAGTGAAAGAGTATATTTATGCAAAACAATACTTCTTCACTTTCTGCAAAGATGATAATTGACCTGTTTACGAAAACATATTTCAAAGAATGAAATGACTCCAAGCTTCTCTAGATATTAATCTCACAGTGGTCTGTCATTAAAAGAGATGGATAGGAAAATCCCAAACCATATTCAAGCAAAGATCTCGGGAAAGCAATAAAAACTACTCTAAGTAATGTTGAAGTTAAAACAGTAGAAAAGTTAACAAATTTAAAGGTTGAGAGATTGATGAAGGTTATAGAATATCAAGGAGCCCATATTAACATGTAAAATAATTATTTATGTAAGATATTGTGTTAATTAAATATAAAAAATTAAATTCATTTGTAAATAAAAATTTCTATTGCACTTATTTTTTTAAGGTTAACTGAGTATTAAAGAAAAAAGAAAAACCTTATTAAGAAGAGAAAACAATAAAAGAACAGGAATTAAGAAGATAACAATTGACATTGCATTTAAATTTTTGAAGAATCAAAATTAACTAGAAATTAAAAGGCCAGAAGAGAGTTCCACAAGTGAGAAGTGGGAGAAAAGAAACTGTTAGCATAGAACTTAGGGTTACAGCTAGAAATTTCAATTATAAGATGATGAAATCTAGCTGCTAATCTAATTACTGTGTTTAAATTCATAAAGTCTAGGTACCAAAGAGGAAAGCTCATCAGAACAATTACCATGAAAATATTTATAGAAAAGGCAGAGGAAAGCTACATTGCAGTGATGGGAAAGCTCAGATACCAGGTCAGAACCAATAACAAGACTGATTTTTCTTTGTATTTTATCAGGAATCTCTTAATACATAACAGAAGCACCAAACCAGATGTGACAGTAATATTCGATGGAGGAATGGTTGACTTATAAATATGTAAGATAGATTCTAGTGAAAAAATTGACTAGTATGACACAGTGAACCAACTTTCCTAGCAGCAGACCTAGTAATTGATTCAATTTAATCTTTCTACTTCATGTCAATTGAAAATTTTAGCCTGAGAAAAGCCTAAAACCCATAAAAGTTTTATCCTTTTTTTTTTTAATAAGAGTTATAAACTCAAATACATGCAATATATTTCTATGATGAATAAATCTTGAAGATTTTATCAAACATCTGTTGGTTAATACAAATTTTCCTGTGAAAACATTGACTTGCATCATAAAATATGATATAGTGTAATAATTCTGAAGGTGATCAATTTATTAATAACAATATGTTGCTTGTGTAGAAACAGCCACACTTTTCAGAAGAACTAATAACAGAGAAATAGTGCAGTGTGCTACAAAGCCTCCAAACAGACCTCCTCAGCTTTAAATTCAAAGTTTTCCCTCTCCTATATAGTTTGCTAACCAGGCTAGAGAGCTTGGTCTTCCCTGCTATTAATTCCATAACTGGGACGAGAAGAAATTGATTCATTGATAAGGTATTTATATGAAAGTGAATGCAACAACCTCAGCTGGAATTTGAACTTGACATGCTGATCTTACTTTCTGTATCAGTAACCACTACACTTTAATTCGCTTTTTATTTTTTTTGTTTGAAGTGAT